TTGTCGAGATACGAGTATATTAAACATAATTATGAGCTCAAAGGCCCTACAATTTATCAGAATATATACTGGCAATTAACCTGTTAATAAGATGGCGAGATGATAATTCCCTTTTTTGGGTAAGAGGACAAGGGATATAACTGGAAATAATATTGCTGATACATTGGCAAAAGCTGGAACTACGATGGCTATACTTGATATAGACCAGTCTGTAGTGTTTACGGCCATTAAAAACCATATATCCGATATTCAGCTCAAGACGGTTGGTCACATGAGTACACTTGCTCAATTGCTAAGGTGCTGTAGCCTCGTATGGATCCTCATAAAACATACTACCTAAATTGTAGGTTTCAACAAATTGTAAATTTGGAAACCATGCAAGACGCATGGGTCTTCATAAGTAGGTTTTTATTCTACTATTCAGTACCTGGAATGGACATTTTATGAATTGATATTGAAAAATTGACGGAGTATACCCTTGTACCGCTGTATCTAGAAAGCACTGTATTATTTTTAGTACTTTGAATTAATTTGTTTTCCAAAAATTTCACAAAATACTTTTGGAAAAGCTTTCTGTGTTAGTAAACACATATTAAGTGTATTCATATTGTAATATGAAATAGAAAATGTTATTTTTGTCATCAATTTATTAAGATTTTTTAATAATTTATTTATATTTTTCGGGATTTAGAAATCCCGGAAATCCCGCGATCCTGATATCGGGATTCCGGGATTCATTTAAAAGTCCCGAATACCGTGATTTTTAAAAATCAGTCCCGAATGGCATCCCTATCAAATACACTAAATAGACCTTCTATCCCACTTACCGATAACGCCATCTATTAAACATTCTATTCGCCTCCTTCCGTTCTGCCGTCAATTCTAATTGCGCATCTTTTTTCAAATTTATTAAAGAGTTTTGTAGAACAAAATCAATGACTGCCTTCTTCATGGCAAACACATAATCAGATTTTATCTCATCGATATTTTCATTAAGAGCAGTGGCCCATTTATTTAAAACAGCTGGTATTTGACTTTTAATTCTAAAAATTAATGGAACAAAATGAAGAGGCAATTAAATGTAGATAAACTTTCTAAGGTACAAATAATCCAAGAGTAAAACAAAAACAGCCATTAGAATCTTACCTGTTTAACACTTTTTTGCTCATGGGTGAAACGTGTATTGTATCGATGCCATGTTTAATGTAATAGTAATAACGTAAAACTTCCTTTTCTTCTTTATTGGGAAATTCAGCTTCCAAATCAATGGCAGTAGCGGGAGAACCTCCAGCATCATCATCGTCTTTACGGGCAATTAATTCGACTAACTTTTTGCGAAAGTTTTCTCGTTCCAAACGCATTTGCATGTAAGAAGGTCGCTCTATTTTATTTATATTAAATGGGGCCAAAAGTTTTAAGGAGTTGGGTTGTAGAGAGTGTTGTTGCAAAGGAACAGCGTTGTGCATGAAACAAATAACATGAATTGCCATTAATGTGTAATCATGTGTAACAAATTGTAGCCATAATATACAAGAAAGTAGCACATCTAACTTTTTGCCACCCACTTTATACACATTCATTCATATATAAACATATTTACATGGTTGTAACTAACTTACATCTCCTCTACTTACTTTCTTTCTTTTTAGTTTGTATCCTACGTTTACAACGCATTTCTTTGGTATGACATAGCAGCCTGTCAGGTATGCTGGTTGATAGCATTCTTCCATCTAATATTTCACTTGTACATTCTGGCATATTCAATTCATACCAGAGACGTCGTGAATTGTATTCGGGATTCGCCTTCGAACGTAATATACTTTCTAGTGTATCGGGTTTGGGTCGATTGTAAACGAATTTTTGTTTTGAACATGGTCTTTTGACATTGCTGACTCCACTGCTAGAGCTGAGATGGCTGGGCTGTGATTTGCGATAAGCTGAAATAAAAGGAGACGACTAGAATCAGAAATTCATTGATCTAATTTAAATGATGATTTTAAAATAAAGTTATTGCCCAGTGGGCAGAAATGAATTGTATTTAAATATATCAGACCGGTTCTATTTGAAAGTAACGAGTTGCTCCAAGTGAAATAAGACACCACGAAGATGTTAAATTTTAATCTCTTAAAGTTTATGCCCTTGTTCAAATAAAAGAAGGAATTTGTTCGTTTGAGAGCAGATATTCCCTACGAAAGCGAGATCGGGCCTAGGTTACTGGAGAGATATAGAATAGCATTTCGACTTTTCCCAAACTGGGACACGTAATACGCTTTCTTCATCTGGTATGCGCTATATAAAATGGACAACAAGGCACTTGTTTTTAATGAAAAGAGACTTGAAGAAATCAATATCTGACCAATGCTAAACTGATTGAGCTAACTAGACGCAGAACGTTGGGTAGGACCGCAAAGCTCGTATGGACAGATTTAGATTCAAAATTAATAAGCCGAAGATTCCGGAATACGGGTGCAACCTTACCAAATGCAAAGCAAGCTACGTGACTTCAAAACTGGTTTATAAGTGGAAAATGTTTTGCAGAAAGGCTAGCTAGCTAGCTAGCTAGTTAGTTAGTTAGTTAGTTAGTTAGTTAGTTAGTTAGTTAGTTAGTTAGTTAGTTAGTTAGTTAGTTAGTTTAGTTAGTTAGTTAGTTAGTTAGTTAGTTAGTTAGTTAGTTAGTTAGTTAGTTAGTTAGTTAGTTAGTTAGTAGTTAGTTAGTTAGTTAGTTAGTAGTTAGTTAGTTAGTTAGTAGTAGTTAGTTCGTTAGTTAGTTAGTTAGTTAGTTAGTTAGTTAGTTAGTAGTTAGTTAGTTAGTTAGTTAGTTAGTTAGTTAGTTAGTTAGTTAGTTAGTTAGTTAGTTAGTTAGTTAGTTAGTTAGTTAGTTAGTAGTTAGTTAGTTAGTTAGTTAGTTAGTTAGTTAGTTAGTTAGTTAGTTAGTTAGTTAGTTAGTTAGTTAGTTAGTTAGTTAGTTAGTTAGTTAGTAGTTAGTTAGTAGTTAGTTAGTTAGTTAGTTAGTTAGTTAGTTAGTTAGTTAGTTAGTTAGTTAGTTAGTTAGTTAGTTAGTAGTTAGTTAGTTAGTTAGTTAGTTAGTTAGTTAGTTAGTTAGTTAGTTAGTTAGTTAGTAGTTAGTTAGTTAGTTAGTTAGTTTAGTTAGTTAGTTAGTAGTTAGTTAGTTAGTTAGTTAGTAGTTAGTTAGTTAGTTAGTTAGTTAGTTAGTTAGTTAGTTAGTTAGTTAGTTAGTTAGTTAGTTAGTTAGTTAGTTAGTTAGTTAGTTAGTTAGTTAGTTAGTTAGTAGTTAGTTAGTTAGTTAGTTAGTAGTTAGTTAGTTAGTTAGTTAGTTAGTTAGTTAGTAGTTAGTTAGTTGGTTAGTAAATTTCCTCCAATGTTGGTTCACTTAAAATGTTCACATTTCTATTATTAGAATTACAATAAAATTTAAATTTAACGCCTTTTATATTTCATCAACACTGTTTTTCAATTAAAGTATAATCAGTACTCAACAGCGGTTGATAAGTACTGTAGTGCACAATTTCCAAGCAAAAATTACTTTACAACACTACCGAATATTTGACGCCGCTTTTTTTTAACACTGACTTTGTTATTTCCTCAAAGGCCGTTTCCATAGAAAAATAAATAGAACTGAAACTGAGAATAAGAAATATTACTCTCTCACATGTACAGGTTCTGTGTGAATTTAATACAATTGTATGAGTATTTTTATTTTTGTTTACATAAAATAACAAAAATATGAAGTACAAAATGTATCCGAATACACCCATACCCTACCACATTGCGAGTAAGTAGCAATAAGTTATTTAGTATTTTTTAATGTAGAAGTTATATTCAGAGATTGATGTTTGCTTAATTAATGAAGTACTACTCATTATAACAATATATAGTCAAAATTTCGTATATATAAAATTTGTTGAGTCCGAATTTTATAAATACTCTATTCTTGTATAGCATGTACCGCTTACACAAAAGTTCAATAGGCTAATTTCATGGGCGGATTACATCATTACATCGACGCAGGTGTTACAAACTTTAAGACGTAAACAAATACCGTTCCCATTAGTGTGGTGTAGGGTGTATTTGACTGCATTTGGGCTGCTTTGAAATAACAATAATCGTTCATATCAAGCGTTAATTTTAGCATTAGCAACAATTCCTTTGGCAAAATAGCCCCTGCTGCTGCAATAAACACTGCCTAAAAGTTATGTTTTCCCATAAAGTTATTGAAAACATTTTCAGAAAAAAAAAACAAATTTTTTCAATCGTTTTTATTTTTTAATATTATTTTCAAGTGTCAATATTGACTCAACCAGCAACCAAAAAGAGTTTATTTAAAATTAAAAATTATTTTTAATGAAGATCTTTTCTTACATTGGTCAACTGATATTGAATAAAAATGGCTAATTCAAAACCATATATTTCATAAAATATCGAAATATAATATCAAACAAAAATATAAAAACTTTTAAACAAAAGAGGTTTGTGTTTGTTGGGTTACATATTTTTCAACTAATACATTCTCACGACTTAGGTTTTTGACAGCAGACTTAAGGCCTAACTATAATATGCTTAAACAAACTGAAGTCAGCTTAAGCAACTGTGGCGAACACATATAAAATGTATGTGACAAACTATAATGTACTTAAGAGAGTTTCGTCAAGTTTCGTCAAATTTTATTTGCTTAAGCAAAGAGCGATACTGACAGCACATTACGTACGGAATCCAATTGTTTGTTTATTATACACAAAGAAAATAAGAAAAAGAAAAAAATGGAAAGCTAAAGAAAATTAATTTATTTCAATAAAATATTTTGAAATATGTATTTTTTTTATTACGTGTGTCACATAAATGTGTAAATGGGAGCTAAATTGTTTTGAATACACGTAAGTACATTATAGCCACCTAAAAGTTTCCTCGGATTTTCTTAAACATTTGAGAGACTTTTCGTTCGATTGTTACATTACCTTAAGCAAGCTTATGCACATTATAGTTGGGCCTTTAGGTTTTGTCATACTCAGTTTCAGTTCTATGTATACCTTTTCTATGGCCGTTTCTCTCTCTCTTCTATTTGCTCTCAACGTGCTTTATGTCAAAAAAATATTCTTTTGACATATTGTGCAACTGTTTTCTTTTCATTCATCGTGCAAAAAGAAGTAAAATTCCTTTTTTTAACTTTTAATTTAATAAAATTTTCAATTAAAGTTATTTAAAATTTGTGAAAAAACTATACCTTCTTCCGAGCAACGTTTCATTGTAGTAAAAACATCCAAAATATATTAAAAATTGTTAATAAATTCTTAATTATTTAAACGGAAGATTGTTTGTAACAAAGTTTTTCGAGTTATTGTAGTTTAATTTTTATATTATTTAAGCAAAATTCGTTCTTTCTTTGTGACTGTTAGTTAGAAATTGATTTTTCTTGCCGGTTTGCTAGACAGTTGGAAAATTTTGTTTTTATTTTCCTTGCTATTGAAATTTCTATTGTCATTTTATAAACAAAAATATTAAATGAAAAGTATATTTGGTTTCCTAGGTGTTGAGGGAAAATTTTCACATACCTTCAGAGCTGCATTTAAGGGAGACAAAACCAGCAACAAGTTAAGCGTGTGTGTCACCAGGAGTAACCAGACTAACAAATTATTAAAATGATTTTCCAACAATTCACCAGATTCTTGCACACCACCCGTATTGTTTATGCCGGCGCAGAGAAAAGTGCATTAGCAGCATTAAGAAAAAAGACCCGGCTACACATTTGCCAACTGCAAAAAGGCCCTGGAAATGCATAATAATGATATCAATTTGGTAAATATTAAATTAAAACATATTTAAGGATATTTTTATAAAAGGAATTTTATTCTAGGCTGAAAAATGGTTGAATGAACAGGCCCAAAGTCTTGGCTGGTCTAAGGCTACTAAATTGGCTGAAAGAGCTACCGCTCAAGGTTTAGTGGGTGTTTTAATCAAGGGCAATATCGGTGCCATGGTGGAGGTCAATTGCGAAACTGATTTTGTAGCCCGCAATGAAAATTTCAAAAATTTCGTAGATCATGTTTCCAGAGTATGTGCTCAGTACACAGAGTTAACCCAATTTGATGGCGATTTATGGAAGGTAATATTAATATAAAAATTTATTAATATTGAAAACAAATATTAATATTATTTTGTCCACCTTAAACAGTCCGGGTTCGAGGCCGATGCTTTGAAAAATCTTAAAACTTCGGATGGCAAAACCTTGGCCGATCATTTGGCCTTATTAATTGGCACCGTAGGTGAAAATGCCTCTATTAAGCGTGCCATTTGTTTCAAAGTCAATAACGATTTGAAACTTTCGGGTTATGCTCACCCCCAGGCCACTACCCAAGAATCAACACAAATATACACAAGTTGGTAAATATTGGTGCCATTGTAGCATTCCGCGGCAATAATGTCGATGAGGATTTACAAAGAACCTCTGCCAACATATTGTCGGTATGAATCCCAAAAAAGTGGGTGAAGCTGACAAGGATAAACCCATGGCCAATAAGGACGATGAAACCTGTCTTATTCACCAGGAATATTTAATTGATGATGACAAGACTGTCGGTGAAGTATTGCAGGAAAATAATCTCTCTATTATTGACTATCAACGTTTTGAATGTGGCGAAGCTGCTGCTAATGAGGAATTGGAAAAGGCCAAACTCAGTAATTGACAAATGCGCGAAAGCAGAGTTGATAAAGATTATTAGTAATAGTAATGTGGGTGAAAACATTTTTATTTAGTTTTAATAAATGTTGGACATGTTTTTGAATGAAACATAGCAATTTAAATAAAGTTTGCTTTTATTGTTAAATGTTAAACTTAAGAAAGCAAATAAGTTAACTAATTAAATAATAAATATGGTGTTATTAAAAATAGATAATTGAACTATACTGAAGATGTTTTCCAGTTAATGTATAAGTGAAGTAGACGGTTTTTGAAATCAGAATACAGATAGTTTTATAGCTAAGTTTGACCAACAGATTTAGTTAGTTTATTGTAGCATAACAAGAATAAAAGAATCGATCCAAACGGTGCGATGCGAAAAGGCAAAAAGGAGAAAAGAGCGCCAAAGCAGGGAGAGGGGCGAAAAGGCAAAAAAGCAAACAAGCGAGCGAGCGAGAGCGAGCAAGCGAACGAGCGAGCGAGCGGGCGAGCGAGCGAGCGAGCGAGCGAGAGCGAGCGAGCGAGGCGAGCGAGGAGCGAGCGAGGAGCGAGAGAGCGAGCGAGCGAGCGAGCGAGCGAGCGAGCGAGCGAGAGCGAGCGAGCGAGCGAGCGAGCAGGAGCGAGCGAGCGAGCGAGCGAGCGCGAGCGAGCGAGAGAGCGAGCGAGAGCGAGCGAGAGAGCGAGCGAGCGAGCGAGCGAGCGAGCGAGCGAGCGAGCAGGCGAGAGAGCGACGAAGCGAGAGCGAGCGAGCGAGCGAGCGAGAGAGCGAGCGAGCGAGCGAGCGAGCGAGCGAGCGAGCGAGCGAGCGAGCGAGCGACGAGCGAGCGAGCGAGCGATCAGCGAGCGAGCGAGCGAGAGAGCGAGCGAGCGAGCGAGCGAGCGAGCGAGAGCGAGCGAGGAGCGGACGACGAGCGAGCGAGCGAGCGAGCGAGCGAGCGAAGCGAGCGAGCGAGCGAGCGAGCGAGCGAGCGAGCGAGCGAGCGAGCGAGGAGCGAGCGAGCGAGCGAGCGAGCGAGCGAGCGAGCGAGCGAGCGAGCGAGCTAGCGAGCGAGCGAGAGAGCGAGCGAGCGAGCGAGCGAGCGAGCGAGCGAGCGATGAGAGCGAGCGAGCGAGCGAGCGATGAGCGAGCGAGCGAGCGACGAGCGAGCGAGCGAGCGAGAGAGCGAGCGAGCGAGCGAGCGAAGCGAGCGAGCGAGCGAGCGAGGCGAGCGAGCGAGCGAGCGAGCGAGCGAGCGAGCGAGCGAGAGCGAGAGCGAGCGAGCGAGCGAGCGAGCGAGCGAGCGAGCGAGCGCGAGCGAGCGAGCGAGCGAGCGAGCGAGCGAGAGAGCAGCGAGCGAGCGAGCGAGCGAGCGAGCGAGCGAGGAGCGAGCGAGCGAGAGCGAGCGAGCGAGCGAGCGAGCGAGCGAGCGAGCGAGCGAGCGAGCGAGCGAGCGAGCGAGCGAGCGAGCGAGAGGAGCGAGCGAGCGAGCTGAGAGAGAGCGAGCGAGCTAGGATCTAGAGATCTAGCGAGCGATGATCTAGCGATCGAGCGAGCGAGCGAGCTATCGATAGCTATCTATCTATCTATCTATCTATCTATATATCTCTATCTAAACATATTCTCTTTTTCTTAAATTAAAATTTTTATTTTTGCCAAAATTATATATTAAAAATAAATCTGCTTATTCATGGATAAAAGTTTACTTAACCGATGAAATTTTATGAACAATTTCATTGAACTTTATAACAAAACTTTTTAGAATTCTACAAAAAAAAAGGTCACCTGTTGCTGCTGTTGTATTTTATGTCTGTATGTACGAACTTTAGAAAAAAGAATAGGGGATTTACGCATGAGTAACTTACACCTGCATGTAAAATATAATTTCAAAATAAAAACCATTCGTCACTCTTATTTTTAAACTAAATTCAATGTAAATTATTAGGGTTGCAAGCAACGAAAACTGGCTTTAAGCCAAATTCTTTTTTGTCCAATAAAACATATATAAACAATAATTTGCTTTTACTCCAAAAAGATAAGCCCGAAAAAAAGTAGCAAACGGAAGAGTGAAGTCATAATATGAGGCAAGAATCAAACAGACGGACAGACATGCAGATACATAGATAGGCGGGTAGACAAACGTTTAGATATAGACGCAATGAGACCAACATGCAATGTCAATGATTTTTAATTGTGTTTTTATGTTGAGTTTTATTTTTTTTAGTCTTTCTTTTTTGATCACACTCTTAAATCATGTACTTAAATAGACAAACTATTAACTAACCAAAGCCAACTACTATAACACTCTCTGTCTGTCATTCTTCTTTTACTTTGTCGTATTTAAACGTACATTTTTATTTGTACGTGATTTTTTAGTTAAAGTTTATGAATGGTTCGAAAAAACTTATAATGGCTAAATAATTACTTTTCCGGAGAAAGATTTAATTCTATTTTAGCACAGAACTAAATACAATTTAAAACATTGGTCAAAACAATATCGACCAGCAGACACACTCTCAAATATACATGAATTGTGATCACATTACATACAGATATAAACATACACATGTACATATGAATGTTTAACAATGGCAAAATCATTTGAAGCTTCAAAAAAGTTTTAAGCATTAGTTATGGTCGACTTAATAGAAACTATTAACCGATCAGTCTTTACAGTGTGTAGTCTTGACTATATATCAGTCCATAGTTATAACAATTGATCAGATTACGGTCTTGACTAGATCATTAAATAGTTTTGACTATTGATAAGTCTTATGTATTGACTATAAATCCATCTATAGTCTTAGCTATAGAATCTACAGTCTATCTGATTAATGGACCAGTTTATGGGCTTGATTATAGATTGATCTATAGTTTTGAAAATTGTAGAATAGTCTATATAGGCTATTCAATAGTCAATACTATAGACTATTCAATAGTCAAGAAGCTATTAATCGACCAGTATATAGTCTTGACTATAGATCAGTTTATAATCTTGACTATATATCATTTTATAATCCTGACTATATATAAGTCTATAGTTATAACTATGGATCAGATTATGGTCTTGACTATAGATCATTAAATAGATTTGGCTATAGATCACTCTAAAGTCTTGACTATAGAATAGTCTATAGTCTTGACTATAAAATAGTCTATAGTCTTGACTATACAATAATTTATAGGCTTGACTATAGAATAGTCTATAGTCTTAACTATAGATAAGTGTATAGTCTTGACTATAGAATAGTCTATAGTCTTGACTATAGAATAGTCTATAGTCTTGACTATAGAATAGTCTATAGTCTTGACTATAGAATAGTCTATAGTCTTGACTATAGAATAGTCTATAGTCTTGACTATAGAATAGTCTATAGTCTTGACTATAGACTTGACTATAGAATAGTATATAGTCTTGACTATAGAATAGTGTATAGTATTGAATATAGAATAGTCTATAGTCAAGACTATAGAATAGTCTATAGTCTTGACTATAGAATAGTCTATAGTCTTGACTATAGAATACTCTATAGTCTTTACTATAGAATAATCTATAGTCTTGACTATAGAATAGTGTATAGTCTTCACTATAGAATAGTCTATTGTCTTGACTATTGCTTAGTCTATAGTCTTGACTATTGAATAGTCTATGGTAGTGACACTAGATCAATATATAGTCTTTACTATAAATCAATCTATAGTCCCCACTGTAGGGTGTACAAAATATGCAAAATTATATTCAAACATACATAAAATGGCAAAGGAAAAGTACATACAGAGGAAAAAACATCTAATTTTGGTCATCCCCACGCCGTATTACACTAAATGGTAACAACAACAATGACAAAATTACCACAACAACAAATA